CCCCACGCGTGTCCCACCCCTGCATTAGCCACTCCTGGCCTCCCCGCCTGCCCGGCCTGGCAGAGCACAGGAGGCGTCGAGCAGATGCCTCGCCCCAGCATCCCTGGGGATTCGGGGAGCAAGTGGGAGACCACCCCCCACCATCCCGGTTTCCGAGTGGGGCTCCCTCCGGGCGTTCCCCTCCCCAAAGGGCCGGAGCCCAGCCTCACCTCCCCAAAGCTGTTTATCCCTGGCCGGAGTGTTACAAAAAGGGAGATTTATTCCTAGTGAGCTGCTAATAAAACACCCTCCCAAAGCCCTTGGCAGGGAATGACGGCAGCTACAAATTATTTTGCGAGGGGCTGTGCCTTGGCATGAGCCTTCTGCATGCCGGCCTCAGGGTTGGTTTTTTGTTGGTTTTTTTTTTGCCTTGGGGTGGCTGGGAGGATGCTGCTGGTCCCCCCCTGCCCCAAGCAATGTCCCGAGGAGGAGGAGGAGGAGAGCCCCACTGGGGTGAAGGTGTCCCCCAGGATGCTGGCACATCCCCTCCTGGCATCTGGGGATGCTTAGCAGGGACACGGTGCTACGAGCTGATGCTGTCCCGGCCCTAAGGAAAGCAAAAGAACTTCACCCGGCAAAAAGGAGCTCAGGCAGGGAGGGGTGGAGGGGCTGCTGCCTGCTCGGTGTCATTACAGGCATGAAATAAGGGGGGGGGGGGGGGGGAAATGAAAGACTGGAAAGAACGGGTGACCTCAAACCGCAAGCTGGCAGCTATTAATGCAAGCGCTGGCAGCCACCCAGCCATGCCATTTGGCTGCCGGCCAGGGGGTGAGCGAGCTCCCGTGGCCTCGGCCAGCCAAAAAACCCAGCCACAAGCTCTGGCACGTCGGTACTGCCGGCCCCTTGGCTAGCGGCCACCCTGGCTCCCGGCTGGTGGCAGGGGGGACGCCCCAGCCCCAACCCCCCGAAAGCAGCCAGGATGTGCTAAACCACTGGAGAAACGTTGCAAAGCTCCGGTGGGGATGGCGGCAACTTGGGCAAGACCGGGGAAACCAGCAGCTAGCACCTGGATGTGGCATGGGGCCACGCAAGAGGAGCCAGCTTCATCCCGGTGGGGCGGGCAAAGGCAGGGAGCAAGCAGCAAAAATCCTTGTGCCCAGCAAAAGAAAATGGTCTCCCTTCAGCACCCTTCATATTTGGATAAAATTGAGGAGAGAAAGCATTTGAAAGAGGTTTTAAAAGAGCTGGAACCCCAGGGCAGATGTCACCAGAGGCAATGGTTTCCATTCTCCAGTAGGAATGGGGAACGGCTGGCAGAAGGTATCTCCAAAAAGGGACCTCTCACTGGCCGTACATCCTCTGCTCTCACTGTTGCCGCGAGTATCACACCTTTCCCGAGGGAGGCCCAGGGACCTGTGTGGCCGGGCAGATGTCACCCCCAGATGTGGCCAGGCAGAGCTGGCCATGCCACAGTGACCACACAAGTGTGGCCCTGCTGATGAGACCAGGCAGAGGTGGCCAGAGAGTTGAGACCAGGCAGCAGTGACCAGACAGAGGTGGTCCTGCTGAGGTGACCATTTTGATGAGTCCAGGCAGAGGTGGCCAAGCAGAGGTGGCCACGCTGATGAGACCAGGCAAGGGTTGATCAGGCAGATGTGACCATACAGAGGGGACCGGGCAGGTGTGGCCCTACTGAGGTGGCCACGCAGAGGTGACCGTGCTGATGAGAGCAGGCAGAGGTGACCAGGCAGAGGTGACCGTGCTGATGAGAGCAGGCAGAGGTGCCCTGCAGATGGCAGCTGGAGCCCGAGGACGGTGCAGGGGCATTCAAGGCTTCCTACAGCCCAGACCTTTGCACCCCAGCACCCAGTTCAGGCGTGGGGTTTGCACCCAAAGCCACGGTGGGGAGCGGTGGCCGAGCCCAGCCCTTCCCTCTTCTGCCTGTGGAAACATGCAGCACCTTCTGCAAAAGGAAGTCGGAAAAAGGATGGGAGACAGGCGGCAGCGAAATTATCAAGCAGTTCCCACGGCACCAAGTTCCTGCAGCGATAAGAGCATTATTTTTCCTCCTCCCAAGCGGAGGAAAAGTTTCAAGGAGAGCTGAGATGCTGATGCCGCCCGACGTACAGCAAGGCAGCTGGCATGCCGGCCGCTCCAGAAAAGCCAGCTGACTTGGATTTTGTGTCCTGCTGTTTTAGGCCCGGAGCCAGGATCCATCCCGAGAAAACATCGCACAATGCAACAGAATAGATGGCTGCGTAACCCCAGTTAAAGATAGCTCGGCCAGGGCCAGGGTTCGATGACATCCTTTTCTGTAACGAGCGTGCAAAAGCCCGGAGAAGATGAGTTCAGCCTGAAAACATTTTGCCTGCACAAAGCGCTTTCCAGAAGTAAAGAGATAAAACCCACAGTACTCGTACCTCCCGCTGCACCGCAGGTGTGTCCTGGCTGAGTCCTTTGGGCACCGGGAGCTGCGTTTTGGGAGTTGTTCATGCCGCGGCAAGGCAGGGCCCTGGCTGCCTGGCTCTGACCTGGCTCCCCTTGATGCACATACCCGGGGTGTCCCCCCCTCCGTGGGCCCTGGACCCCCCAGATGTGACAGACGATGCCCAGCAGTGGGGCAGGAGAGGGCCTCTACTCCACGTCCCCCCCGAGGGAAGAAGGATGCCCTGGCAAGGCGCACCCAGCATTTATTTCTTTAAAAGCAGAAAATAAATTCGGGCAGAGCGCCGGCGGGGAAAGAGAGGGGCAAGGGGCAGTGCCATAGCCCACCCCGAGCGCCCGCCCGATGCCACCGGCTGGGACAAGAGCATCCCACGCCCGGTGCGTGATGCTTGGGACTGGGTCTTGACATGCTCCTCAGCACCCAGTACCACTGCTGGCTGCCCAGTACCACGTCCCAGAGCAGGATGCCCGTGCCCAGTGCAAACCCAGTCCCCTACAACCGATCCCCGGTCCCCACCTCTACCGATGCCCGGTACCCA